GTAATACTTTATATATATATATATATATATACTTGTAAACTATTCTAATACTACTTAATTATTACTTGGTTCTTTATAGGAAATCATATCAGTGTTGCGTAACAATGATGAAAGTGGTATAAAACCAAAACCGAGATTCTATTATGAGATTCTAACCTAAAAAAAAAGAAACATTTGTCCATTGTCAGACCATATTATTATTATTATCTCATTATAGCTGTTCACTAGAAATGGCATTTTTAATGGCACATTTTCTTACATATTCACCTATGAGGATTAGATAATTCAAGCACTTTTATGGAAATGTTAAAATTGATGAACTTGAAATTAACATTTTACTTTGATACCTTGTGATTGAAGTTGTTGTACTGGTTTGTTGGTGTCTGCCTGGTGTTTAGCTAAACCTTATTATCTGATAAAGGGAGAAACAAGTGTATCAATTTGTTATTCCTTACATCACTGTTTAAATACACTAATACAACTGAAGCATGCAGGAAAACAATTTTTTCAGTTCTTCATAACAAATATAAGGGTTTTGTAAAATATTTTGAATTTACATTGTATATATTTAAAGAAGCATCATGAATTTGGACTTGAGAATTTAATTATAACTTTGTATAACATAATGAACATTCGATCACACTTGCATGTATATGCTTTAAAAACGAGACAATAAATAAACTATAGTTTTGTTACTAATAGTTAAGTTAAAGAAAGAGAAAATAAGTTAAATCTTATATGCAGCATTTTAGTCATTATCCAGAAATTTCTGTTTTGTATAAATACAAACCCACAGAGTTAGGTTTTATGATTGATGTAGGTTTCTGGTACTCACTGTGTTCCTATAACATTGAAATTATTATAATACAAACTCCTCCTTAATTAAAACAAAAAATAAATTAGACAATTATCCTACAGTGCTAACCTTTTTTTTTTTTGTTGGCTAAATTCCAGAAAGGTTTGTTTGCTTCATGTATTTTAAAAAGAGGATAGAGAAACAACATTGAGGAAGAGTGTTATAATCATATCATAAGAAGGGCTTCAAACAGACAAGATGGAAGTTGTTTGTTTTACAGTTGCAATCAAACCAAAGGAAAAAATATTTTGTTCAATCAAGTAGTCACTGTTATATATACCTTGTGATGTATTTGTCCTATTATATTGCTACATTAAATGTTGTGTAAGCCCTGAAAATACATTATAGCAACCTATAATAATCTCAGATATTGAAGGTTTGGTGGCTACTATATATATCTAATTCATGAGTCATATGTCTTAAAACATGTATTCTTTAAAATTTTATTTTCTCAAGAAACATAGAGATGTTTTTTAAGTCTATGTTGAATGGTGCAGTGAAGGTTAAAACAACTTAAATTCTGTTAAAGAATATCAGTAAACAGAGAACTGTCTAGTTTAGGCTTTTAACACCAAATATTTCTTGACTGTTTAAGTACAAGTTATCCAGTTTTAAGTTTATTTTTATTATAAAATAATCTAATTGACATTAATTGGTCCATATGGCTCTCTACGAAGAAAAATACAATGAAGCCTTGAATGCACTTGGTAAATTGCCCAAGAACATTGTGTAAGCACATGAGAACAGTTGTAGGTCTCCCATTTCACAGTCTGTTTGATAAACTGTGTGAATGTAAAAGATATATGTTATATGTGTGTGTGATTTCCCAGTGTTTGCAGAATGAGCACTAAATCCATTTTGTTGAAAGCTGTGTTTGTTTACCTCTGTTCCATATGTCATTCTGCACTGATAGTCTTCACTCCATTTTTGTATCATTTATTTTTGTTTTCTTGTTCCTGTAGCTAATTATTTGTTTGGTTTTTTCATATGTTCACTAGTTTAAAAGATCTGATGTGAATATGTCCTTTTTTTTTCTCTTCCAGTTTAATTTGTTTAGATTACAATTAAATAACATTCAAGAAGAATACACATTCTTTTTCTTCAGTTAATCAAAATTCTTTTCATAGTTATTGAACTAGATGCTCAGTACTTTCAAAGACATTTTCTGTTCATAAAGACAGAGCTTAACTGTCAGTTGGAATACAGCCATAAAATAGAAATCTATAGAATAACATTTAAATTAATTTCTTAGAGAAATTTTATTGAAAGTACTATAAGGAGAATATTAACAAGTAAATTGTATGTTTAGGACAAGTTTTAGTAGGTAAAAGTTATAAAGTTTGAGAGGAAAGGGCAAAGCATCTAAAAAACTTATTTTTGTTTGATGAAGTGGTGAAAAGTTTTAAAATTGAAATTATACCAGTCATCTATTTTATTATGCACTTAGTGAATGTTTTTGCATATCAATATTTTATTATGTCAGGTATGAAAAGTATTTCATAAACAGTTTTAAAAACCAGATGTTCAAAAGGTAAATTAAAGAAAGATAATGCACATAGTAAAAAATGTGTACAATATTAAAAGTTAATTTAGATATTCTTCTTATGTTGAAAATAAAATTCTAAATGTGATATGTTAGTTAGAGTTGCCACCTGAATTAACAACTTGAAAATAAGAAACACTTTTGTTGCTGTTTGATAATATTCAACATTTTCATTAAGTTTTAGCTCTGGAGGAAACTAACGTTTAAAATGCATCCTAGGCAAAATAAGGAATAAGTTGGTTTCTGTTCTTACCTGAAATGAAAAGCTTCATTTTAATACTGAATAAAAAACTATTCTGTTATACATTTAACAGGAAGAAATCCAAGAAAGAGATATTAGAAATCTTGAATATGGTGTGCTGTTAAATACAGGAATAACAGAAACCTTGAATTATGAAAACCAGAACTTAATTTAGACTTGGAAGAACATTTTAGCCAAACTGATTATTTTGTAATAATATATTTATGAAACAAAATACATGTAATATTACATATATGTGTAAATTATTAATTTTTTTTTAATGTTTCAAGTTCATGTCATGCATTTGTTATAGTTTTGTTAAGATTTATCATAAATGTTCAGCTGCTTAATAGGACATATTTGTTAACTGCCTGTTTCATTAGAAAAAAAATTAAATTCATTTATTTCAGTTACGAGCAATGTCAGCTACTTTATTATTAATACTTATTTATATTTATTAGTCCACATAGGCCTATGTTTAAATGAAGCATGTTGAAACAACACTCAGCATGAATCCATTTATGATTTGACTTTGATGTATTTTTATTTCAGTCATTTTGGTATGCCCTTTTTACATGCAACAAATTTGTTTATTTTGGCCTTTATTTGTTTAAGAATCATTGACTTTTAACTGAATAAGCTAAGTTTTATACTACAGGAGCATAGATTTCATGTGCATGCTATTGAAAAGTGATGGATAAAAATTATGCAAATGAAAAGAATGATTAATTTACTCCATAATAATTCAAGTGATTAAATCCCTTTCTGAGATCCCAAGGCTTTGTTGCATTGTTAAGGCTACACAATGTGTTCATCTCATGTACAGTAATGCAGACAGTCATTGTACAGGGTTAATGCAAGTAGCCTTATGTTCAATTTAATAATATTTTTTTTTTAGTTATGTATTCATGAAATATTGATTTTTTTTGATTTTTTTTTACTGAATGAGAAGATATTCCATTGCATTAATGTACTCTGTTACTTTGGAAGAAACAAGATTTTTGATGTAGTGTTTGTTAAACCTGTGTGCTTTTATGTGTACTTTTTGTTACTCCATTTCATTCATTTCCTGCACATTTATGTTAATATGCATAATATACATGTTGACTTTATTTCTAATTTTTCTGTTTCCCTGGCTGCATTTTGTTTTATTTTCTTTCATTGAGCTAGTGTCTGTAGCTATCAGTTTAGTCTGTTTCATTAAAGGTTTTTGTTATATTTCATTCCTCCTTATATCTACTTCCACCAGTATCTTTGTTTCAGTCTGGAATTATTTTATGTTTTTTAGACTAATTAAAACAATTAAGATAACCTCAGTGAAACAATGTATTGAATATATGTAAATCACAAAAAGTACGCGTTTTAAAAATACCTTGTTGGCAGTGTTCTTTGTTAAGAATGGTAGAGAAGTTGAAACATATTCTAGATAAATTTTTACACTAGAGGATTGACTGTCTGAAACTCTTTTGTGGTAGTATCTATTTTGGAATGGTTAATATTTCCCAAGGGATGAAACTGTTTATGTTGGCTGTTTTTTTTTAAGGATTCTCATGGGTATTATGAGTTTAAGCTTTCAGTGCATTGATGTTATAAAAATTAGATCTTTTTTTTTAAATGATGACATACTGTTGTGAACTTGGTTCCCCTCTGTATCTATTACACTTCTAAGAAGGTCATGTGACAAGGTTATACTTCCCCTATGTTTGAACACCAGACAGCAGTGTGTTCTCTAAGAAAGAAGGTTACTCTACATTTGCATGTACAATGTTAGTGCTGTGTGTAAAAATAAAAACTGCTTTAACACATGCAATGTGTTGGAGGGTTGTATCCAAATAGTAAAATTACTGTATATTGACAGTTGTATTGGAATGCTATGTAGGAGTAATAAACTTCTGTACTTTAACACATGTAGTGCTGTCACTGCTGTATTTAAGTAAGGACATTAATTTGTAATCTAAGTAACAGTTTAAAATATTGCCTAATTCTTAAACAAAAATATATATATGTGTATATATGAACATTAACCAGTGTGAATGTTTGTATATATTAGGAATAAACAGCAAAATGTGCAAAACTTTCTTTTTAAATGAAAAGAGCTTTTAAGTAGAGGTAGGAAATTATTGGAATTTCTTAATCAATAAATTGTCAGGCTCATTAATCAACTACTTTCAACTAATTAATTATTTTCATGGGATTGCTAAAAAAAAATTAAAATATATTGATTATTCTTACATGAGATGGCTAAAAGAACTTATAATGCTACAAATTGGGTTTCAATACCCATGGTGAGCATAAATAGCCTATTGGTAGTTTTGTGTTTAACAACAAACGAACATAATGACATTTCAATTACTTGGATAGCTGGAATAATCAAAAAAGTAATAATTGAAAACAATAATTTTGATTATTTGATAATTTTTGTGACATTAATCTATTTAATTGCAATTTTGAAGTGCTGCACAGTAAAACCATGAGGCACCATATGGGTGTGAGGGACATATTGTCTTTCATGAAGCCAGTTCAGTGGTGACATCAAACCACAAACTGATGCACAGGAAGAAACCAGCAGGAATGCCTGAAAACTATCAGCTGTGGATTTGGCTCTTAGACGGTCTCTGAGTCAGTGATGGCCCCCAAAGCTAAGGAAAAATGTCAACCACTAACCCTTATGCATTAGACATTGCAAGGCATATGAGATAACAGGGCTTCTTCCATGGTCCAGTTACCTTGGCTATGCCACAAATGCAGCTAGAGTTAGACTCCTATAGGCACTAAGAGTGTAACAGGAGTGCTTGCTTACTTAGTTTTCTAGTTTTTTTAATGTCCTTATCTTTTTTACCAGACAGGACAATCAGATTCAATTAACATTAAGACCAATGATAAAACAAATGCAAGAATGTCAGTGATGAGCTATAGTTACACTACTCCAGCTTAAGCTAGTGGGGCCTGAGTTAGGTCTGGCTGCTAACTTGAATGAGTGCAACAGTCAGCTTGCACTCATTGTCATGGTGGCTAGTTCAGAGAACTATTTTCTATCTGGAAAGCAAGCTGCACTTGTTTAATTAGTAATTTGTTTGAACATGGGTGTTGTATCAATTCTAGCCTGTAACTACAGGCATTTGGCTATTCAACTTTCAGCTGGAATTGTTATTGGTATGGTAATAGAAGCAGAAGTGACAAAAACTAACAGAGTAGCTAATATTGCAGCTTCTGTATCATGTCCAAGAATGAATGCCAAACATCTAAAGCATCTGAGGTTTCTGGTTGAGGATTATGTAAACAATTTGAACCTAAAACAGTGAATTGTTAAGGGAAGATTCTGATGGCTTTGTGCAAGTTGATGACTACTGAGTCGGACAAGAATTGCACATCATCACATAATTGATGTGCATTCAATAAAACAACCACCAAACAAATTTCCATCAAGCACCAAGGATGTAACCAGTGCTGCAACTGAGCTGATATTTCAGGATAGGACTATACAACCTTCAAAGAGTGTATGTTTGTCTCCAGTGGTAATGGTCAAAAAGAGGGAAGGAATGCCAAGGTTCGATGTGGACTTCAGGTGGGTGAGCATAGTAGCAAGCAACAAAGATTCTACTCTTACCATGCACAGTGAAAATGTCTGGATGCATTAGAAAGTGCCTGTTGGTTCAGTACAATAGATTAGCTTCTGGTTTCTGGCAAATTTGAACTGAATGATAAAAGTATACCCAAAATTTCTCTCAATACATGGGAAGAACTCTACAAAATCTTATCAAGTCATTTGGTGTATGTAATGTGCCTGACACTTTCAAAAGGTTGATGGAAGTTAGATTGCAGTGGGAGAAATGTCTCATATATGTAAGTGACATTCTTGTCTTTGGTCACAATTTTCAAACCACAGCTGAGAACTTCAGAGTGACATTCTAACACATCAAGGATGCAAGCATGAAATTGAAATTTAGAAAGTGCACACTCGTGTAATATGAAGTGCATTTTCTTAGTTACAAACTCAGTAGAGGTGGATCGTCCACTGATCATACAAGGATTGCAGTAATTAATATCTGGTCCCTACCATATAATAAATGATAAATCTGCATTTGTCTAGATCTTTCTTTGATAGTATGTGGCCAATTTCTTCAAAATAGTTTCAGCACTGTTTGCATTAGCTAATGTTGAAGTATGATATGTATGGACATTCCAACCCTTGAAGTTCACCTTAGTTGAAGTATCAGTGCTAGCTTATCCTCTTCAAGACTGTCCATTCATCGTGGATACAGATGCCAGTGATAGTAGAATTGTTGTGGTTTTGTAAATTAATGGATGATATGGAGCTCTTAACCATGTGTGTGCCTCGAGTTGTGATATCTGTCAACCATTTTTGCCACTGCTTGTGTCGTAGAGAGTTCACTATTCAGGTAGACCATGCATCATTGAAATGGCTAATGAATTTCAGAAATCCAGAAGGCATGATTACATTTTGGATAACAATGTTATAAGAGTACAACTTCATTATATAACACTATCCTGTGCAGCAACACAGTAATTCCAGATATATTATTTTGCCAACCCATGAAATCATGTTCATTTATTGAATGTTAAGATCCTGGATACTGAGAGCAGTTAAAGCTACTGCAGTAACAATGATGATGAACTATATAAGCACTGAAAATTCTGTGTTTTGATAGATACCAAGAATGATTAGTCAGGACAAATCTTTTTTCCTTTCCTGGAAACAGGAAAACAAAGTTTTAGTGAATGTTTTGAACATTGTTAGACATTAGCTTATTTGTTTAAAATAATTAAACAGATAGTAACCAGTTTTTCATAGTTGAAGAAATGACATTACATAGTTTCTGAAGATTTATGAACATAGTTTTAAGCATTTTCATGAAGGATTATGGACACTATATAAGCTTTTTTTTTAAAAGGTTTGTTGGCATACATGTAATATTAAGCATTTTTTGATAAATTTTAAATAAAAATAACTGTCTTTCCAAGGAAAGATAAATTTTTGAAAGGAAAAGATGATATGTTTTTGTTTCTAGTCTAATCTTCCAAGTGGAAGAAATATTAATTGCATTTTTGAAGAAGATTACGTTATGAAAATATTAATTCTAAGCTGTGTGTTACACAACTGTGTCTTGTGCTTACTTCAAAGATGAGTAATGATATGCACCTGTTAATTTATTCAGAGGGCAATCATGTTTGCAATAGATTAAAGCCTAACAAACTACTATTTGTTCTTAGCTACATTTGTTATGGGGATGGCTCTGCTAATGATGAAGACGAGGAAGATAACAACTGCTCAAGCAGTCCCATCACCATGACTAGTGAAGACTTGCTACAACCAGGTCATGTAGTAAAAGAAAGATGGAAAGTGGTATGTAAAAGCTGGTCCTTATTATTAAAGCACTTGTAAGTGTACATATCTGTTAAAAGTATAATAGGCTGTTTTATATTTTTTGTTCTTCATTTTGAGCTTCAGCATACAAGGCACTGCTTCATTCTATTTTTAATTATATCAACTAGTTTTTCTATGTTACATTTTAACCAAACTAGCAATGATAACTAAGAAATGCATTTATATTATTTATTATTGCTTTTAGAATTCTAGCTTTCCTGGTTGATACATATAATCTTATGGTCAGAGTATATAGACAGGTCACAGGACAATGCACAAAAACACCATATCCAAAAGTTTATTTCTTCCTTATTAATGATGTGACTGGAATATTTTAGTCATTAAATATTACATTTGGTTTATAGTCATAAAGCTATACTGAAGTTGTTCAGGTTTGAGCTCAAACACCATTTTGAAAGTGTTCAAGCTCAAAGACACATCACAATATTGAGGTTGTTCAGGTATAGTGAGGGTAATGGGTCTTAAAGTCACTTTATGTTTGTGGTCTACTCAACTGGTTTGGGAGAATTAACTTTGAGCTAAGAATCATCTGTCGATAATCATTGAAGCAAAATAACCCTTTTTTTTTACAAGTATGAAATGTATAGTATTACTGTAGTTATGCTATTCTTCATTTGTTTTCAATCTTGATATGTACTCAAAAGGTGAAGAAGATTGGAGGAGGAGGTTTTGGAGAGATCTATGAAGGTCTTGATCTTGTCAATAAAGAATTAGTAGCAATGAAGCTAGAGTCAGCAAAGCAAGCGAAACAAGTGTTAAAAATGGAGGTGGCTGTACTGAAAAAACTCCAAGGTAAAGTCAAGAGGAAAACTAAGGTGTTGAGTGATACATTAAACATTTTCTAAGTTTTTTTTTGTATGTACTAAAGGATTGAAATTAGTGACAGGTTTACTAGATACTAGATTATAAATACTGTAGAACAATATTAGTTTCATTGTAACACCTAAATATGTAGTAAGTAAGTCTAAGATGGTAGTTGTATTGAAAGATTGATATTCTTGATTGCATTATAATATGCTGAACTAAAGAGTTTACAAAGCAGTAAGTCCATTTTATATAATCACAATAGAAAAATAAGCATTCCTTTGGGCACTGATACATATATTCTTAGTCATTAGAGATTGTCTTCCTTCTGTGCTTGTATAACTTAGTTTCACATGTAAACTTAACATGAGGCCTAGATATTTTAAACTTATTTTTTACATTCTTTCCTCAGTCTAAATAAAAAGATATTTATTGTTTAATAATGCTTGTAGATGGCTTGAATGGGTAATGAAGAAAAACTTTAATATGAGTTTAATTTAACAGCAAATGTACAACGTTTCGACAAAACCTTGCAGAACAATTGTACATTTGCTGTTATGTTACACTTATAGTAAAGTTTTCTTCATTACCCATTCAAGCCACCTCCAAGCATGATTAGTCTCAAAGTGGGTTCCTCGTCATCAGATATTTATAGTTTTGTTTATGCTCAATATCAGCTTAACAGTTGCTTTAAAATAATTAAATATACAATAATGTAATAGTAATGCTTGTGAAAGTATATGAAAATTATCTGTTTTTCCAAAGTATTATAAATTAATATTTTTAGTTTCAACTCTAGTATGAAACTGTGAAAAAACAGAAAGTCTCTGTTGGTTTTCATGTTGCTGACTCTTTTTAATTAGTTTTAAATGGTTTACTAAAGATTTCCTGAAATGGAATATTTATATAGATAAAATAACTAATATTCTCCAATAAAATTAGTTAAGTACAAATTAATTTTAGACACATGCATACTGTTTCTGAAAAATTTAGGGTGCTTTTAAAATAAAAATTAGTATACAAATTGCCATATGAAGATGTGGTAACCAGGGCATATGACACATACACATTGTAGTTATTAAATCAATTATGATTAAGTGATTATTCACAGACTTTTAGCTTTAATGACTGTTGTTTCATTAGAATGTTTGATGAATTGTCTATAGTCTTTCCAAAGGTGTGACTTCTTAATTTTGTTGTCTAGTTTTTATTAACATTCTTTAAGTTATTAATTTCTTTTGATTTCCTCATATTGCCAGTTCTTTCTGGTATGGTTTAAGTTAATAGATTTCACAGGTCTTCATTTTGCTGATTCTTGTTAAGCAAGTTTGTAATCACTAGTCTATTGGTCTTCATGTTGAAGTCCTTTATTTTAATAAATACAAGGGGAGCTATAAACTGTTCTCCCTAAGTTACTAAGGAAAGCAAGTTTCTCTTCTCAGAACAAAAATTTATTTGTGTAGTACTTGTTGATGATATCTATGAATCTTTATTTTGATTGCCAAAATCAAGCTACACAAAAATGCAACTTTTTGTCCAGCACTGCCAAAAGTTATTGCATTGCACAAAAACAACTGAACTGGAAACTCAAGTATATGTATCATTAAATACAGTAGTACTTAATAGTAGGGACTGCGATGAAACAAAATTGTTGTTTAAAATCACTTTTAAATTGTCAGATTATTAACAATGAGTATTTCACAGTATTGACTGAGCAAAACTAAAGCTTATCGTACTTATAAAGCTGACTAAATCATTGTATGTACATGTTTATGGAGTGAATCAAAATTTCACTATGTCAATGAATTTTCATCTAAGTAAGTTGCTTTTCCAGAAATCATACAGAACAAATGGAAAACCTTATTGCTCTAATACTTTTACAGGACTTTTCCTTATGGGGTCCTAATGATTCTTTTCTTGTACTGAAAAGGATACTAGTATATATATATATATATATATATATATATATATATA